CGAAACTGGCAACTATAATTTTACTTTTTTCAACTATTATCACCGCCCACTTCTTTCGAGGTGGGATGCCGCCGCTGAACTTCCCGAAACCTGAAAGACATTCTATAACAAAAACAATGCATCAATATGTTGTTACAAAACTACCTGATGAACCTCAACGTCAAAATATGCAAACATATATATATATATAATCACAAATATTCGTTTGATATTTACTTGATATGATATTATTTACTCATTTCCTATTCTGTCATATATATATATACAATGAAAGCAAATATTTGCATTCATGTCTTGGCATTGAACGGAACCAAACAGTTGGTTTGTATTAATAAATCTCACTGATAATCAACTTGTCTCGAATTTATGCCTGATACAAAGTTTTATTTATCAATTGTTACGTTAAGACTAAAAACAATTAAATGAAGAATATTCTACGTGAAGGATTGCTTCATTAATTAGTGCTCTCGTCGTGACAGAAATAAAATACATATGCTCAACGTTTACCTGTTTTATTGAAAGACCTTCATTTCGTGAGCATATCATGCATAAAGATGCAAATCGTTTTAATTAACAAACATAAACTAGAATAGTGATTAACAATGAATATTTTTATTAGGATATATAGTCATAGACACATTTTTGCCTAAGTCACACTGCGCCATTATGACGTCACATGACTGCGTCATACAAATTAACTTGTATCCGACTACGATCAAGAAATTGAACTATGGCAAATTATTGACTCTCAATGGAATAGCAATATCATAAGAAGTTTTTTACGTTTTTCTCACTGCTAAAAATGACTTACGCAATTCGGTTATTAGCGTGACGATATTTATCTTCCGAAGATGAACTCTGTCCGTGTTTGCCCTCCATCTTAGTGTGTGGTCTGATCGCCTGAACCCAATTACGCTTACCGGTATGCATTTATTCGCAGTTTGCGTTGGGGAATTAAACAAATTATCAGATTGAAAATGCAACCCATCACAAGCTCATTCAATCAAGTTGAGTATGTTATAATTTTTTAACTATGATGTACTTTCGTTATAAATATGCTTGGTAGTGATGTCAAAGTGTTTTAAATGATATTGAGTTGTCAAAACATGGTCAAAATATAAATATTGAACAATTCGTTTCATAAATACTCAATGCATATGGGTTCTCGTATATTATAATAATGAATTTCTGGTCTTCCAAGATGTATATAATTTTTCCTGATTTTTCTACTGACTGTGTTAGATACTAGCAATCAAAATTGTATCTGGGCAGAATGTTGGTATTTCCGTGTTTAGCATTACATTTTTCTTATAATACCATTTTAGGTATTTTACCATATTTGGCAAAAAAGGCGAAGCAGTCGCAAAGGTGACATTATATATATAACATTATATATCCTTTTGGGAACGGGATTTTTATTTTATTACAATATACCTGGAAGATTTAGTCAACACAAGAAAATATGACTTATGAATTATATGTCTTGAATAATGTGGGAAATATTTTATGAAAAAAATTCCCTATTTAAATCACAATGAATGGATATAGATTACCGATGGCAAACGTAAGTGGTGGTTTTCGGCAACTGAAGAAAGCTATTAAATGGACATCCAGATTTCCCCATCATCTGAGTGTTAAAGCCGTTTCTCCTCAATCACTGATGCTAAAATAGAGCATCCGGTTCTGCTTTATCTCAGAGTAACGCGAAACTTAGTTGAATATAAACCAGTGCTGGACTCTCCGCCATTGTTCGATGTTTTATGTAGTCGACTTGAGGACATATTTATATTTATATAGTTACCCTGCACCGACTACGTTTTCTTTCAAAACGATAAGTTTTCTGAATGAAAAAGCTTTGACAGCTTTCCTTTTAGTAGAAAATCGATTTCCCCCATTTTGGATTTTTCCCTGAGATTGATGAAATACCTATCATTATAGAACTTTTTAGGGAACTGAGCGATCGACAAAAAAAATGCATTCTACGTATACTGTCATCTTATATTTAATATATAGGTAAACATACAAATACAATTTAAACAACGTTAACGATTTTGTATTTTACCACTGCACAATAGTTCGCTTACTGTTTTTTTTCTCATGAATAGTAATAAAAAGATACACAAAAAGGATAATGTCTATCGATATATCTACAGTTTTACAATTCAAAAATAATTGAATAACATCATAAATTGTACAAATATACATGATATTCGAAAGGTTTTATGAATTTGAAGTTAAGTTGGCCCAGCTATCCTTTCGTATATGACTGCTATCCGGCATAAATAAAAAATAGATCATCATTATAAGAAACGTTTCACTAGATTTCGCCTTGCTAATTGCCTGCGAGAATTCATACTAAAATTGTTTTGTTTTCGATGAATTATTCTGTTTTCATATAAACTTTTATTAGAAGAATCATCTGCGAATTAAGCCCCTAATATCATACGTATTTCCTAGTTCCAATGCCTTAAATATACTGTTTTTGTAACGATGAGCAACATTTCCCAAACAAATTCTAAACAAAGAATTTTTCTATGTATGTATAACTGTATGGAAACGCGTATTTTCCAATTTTGAATTGTTCAGTAATTCAATCTGTTTAGCATCCGGACCACGCGTGTCGTAACATGGTTTTGTATGATTTGCGTGTAAAGTAGATTTGGCTAAACAAACGGGCAACTATTGTATATGTGAATCGAATATTCTCAAACCTATACCTCTGCGCAATGAATGAACCATATTGCCCATATCTAGTCCAACATATGGGTATTTTTTAACAAATATTTACTTTACTAATATTTAATGGGGTATTTATAAATCGTGGACAACTTATAATGTTATGTATTTGAACACATTACGGCATAAATAATTCCAAAACCAGGAGACGCAATTTTTTGAAATATTAAATAGTGCAATAAACTAGAAAGAGGAAAATAATGCTGATCACTGCTTTTAAAATATAATTCAAATTCTATAAAATAAGGTATAACTACGTTTTATCTATTTTTAACGACAGTAACATGTTTTTGAGTGCATTAACACGTTTATTTAGTAAAATTCATTTTTATCGGACAATAATTTCGAAATTACTCCTAATACATTGGAGATGTCATCATATTCTTGATTATTTATAATAATATAATATTTATAAGATATAAATCGAAGCTAAAAATAAAATATCGTATTCTGTGTAAAATCCCATTTTTGATTAGAGGTTTAACTATTACAACATATTGGAACATTGGAATGTCTCAATCCACGCTGTATAAATTTTATCATTATAAAATTTGATGGTTGGAAAAATTCCAAATCACTTAAAAGGAAGTATGTTTTGAGTGACAGTCATAAATGACTTATAAATTCAGAAAAGAACATTTCGCAATATCCATCTTTGTTTGAGTAGGTGGTAAACTGGACTAGTGCTATATTCCTTGTAAGATATGGGAATGGTGGTTTCCAACTTATGATTATAGACAATGGCGTACTGAGAGGACTCTCAGCTTCCTCCATTACGTTACCGTTTACATATTCTCGTTCGTCCTTCGACGATAATAGGTTTGTTTGGCAGGTTATGTGTCGCTAATAAGTACAAGTTAACAAGTAAGTCTATAAACAATTTGTAATATTTATTACGAAGCCAAGTGGATTCGAAATATAAAAACTCATTTCACACAGTTTCAAATTAAAAATGACTAATATTCAATACAATTAAAATTAGAAGCCATCATCAGACGCTTCAAGAAATTCTAGTATTGTTTGGTGAACCATATCTATTGATCCATAAATAAAAGTATTTCATTCTAATCTTTTCACGAATAATTGTTCTTAACGGCTTATAATTCACTAATCCTTGAAACCACAGCAAAATCTCCTGCTCCCTCACAATATACGATCATGCCCAGTAATCGTTTCGTAATCTTATTGTTTCACAGTATTTAGATTTAAATATATACTTTATTCATCAAATCATGACTTAACTTAACCAAACAAAAGAGTTTTGATTACATTCTTATGAACTGCGTGAGCCATTTTCTCATTTTCAATTGAACGTTTAATAGTTAAATCATGGTATCATCAGAATTAGAAAATTTATTGACTTGTGATTATTTTCCAACCACTTGAGAAGAAAGTCAAAAACAATTGAAGTCTATTCAATGGCAAGTATGCGAATAGAATCACCCATACGCAAGGTATATTATAAAGGGCTCGGTTGAACTTGTGCTTATACGATTTAATTTGAAAATAACTTGGTCTAATTACCCCAAGTTTTTATTAGATTGCAATAACTTTTCGGTTGATATTACGAAGGTATATTAGATGCTAATTTATAACACCTACGAAATACAATTCTAATTAGTTTTGTATTTGACAGCCAATTTCGAATATGTTTACGAACAGTTATTTGTCCTCAAAATGAGCATGAATTTTCTTTATATCAGTTATCTGTTTTGACCATTGTTTTCAAACAGGGCCAGTATCGATGAAGCAATGAGTATAGATAAAGAAAAACAACGAATTTTTTTAAATTCCAAAAATTTGCATCATTGTCGGGTTATAGTCGATACTTTGGCGAATATATACTTCCGAAATAAAACGAATATACCATTTTATAAGGGGTGACATCAATTAATAAGTTTGGAAATTGTACGCCGAGGTCAGTTCCTAATACGAACAATAATTATTTACAAAAGAACATTGTTTACATTCATTTCGTATTATCATACTTATTTAGATATGGCTAAACGGTAGCTCAAACATATAGCAAATATTAGATCAATTGGCGTTAGTGTACACACGGCCACGGAATTTAATAGACCGAAACCAGTGGGCGCTTTACGGGTGTGTGTGAATTCGGGGAATCACTGTGGCTTCCACCTAAGTCCAAATTCCATAATACATAGATAGTCAACAACTGGAGAACCAAAAACTTCGTAATTACATTATTTCGGAATTCAACAGGTAGAATAATAGGTGGTTACTATAATGTGATATATATGCCCATTTTGCGGAGATAGTGGACAGTATAAAAAGAGATGTTATACCGTACAGAAAATAGTAAGAGCTAACATCTGAAAGAAAACAGAAGGGAACAGCGAGACAAAATTTATATTTTCCGGAAAAAAAAGGAGACAACAAAAGTTAATTACTGATAATTGTACTGGAAACCTAACGCGTTGAAATATATTTTCTATCAATTGTAAAAGAAAATTTCAAAATGGCTCAAGTAAGTGTTGAAACAAAATCAGCGTCACCTTCAACTTAGAATATGCAATATATTTCAACATTGTTTAACAGATAAGGAGCATTTTCAATTTACCGCTGATGGCAATGTTGATGTCGATTTTTGGTCCGATATACGTTGCATGTTGGGACCCCAAGTATGTATAATTCAGATATTTTTCTAGTTAGAGTTTACCAAGTATTTACATTGTGAAAAAGGTATAACATATTAAATAAACCATTTATTTCTATTATTTTCGAAAGTTCAAACATAAGAAGGCGTGAGATGTTTTTTAAGAAAAATCACTCAAAGCAAAAGTAACGAGAAATCACACAATCAATTTAAAAGATAATCACTGAGCGAAGCTACGGTGACCACTAAAAGGCCAAGAGCCACTAAAAGCGTTATAATGTAGGACCGCGCATTGGTAAATACCACCGATTGACGCAAGATTTAAAGCCGTTTGCGTCAATAGAAACAGGAAATCAACTGAGCTGAGGTACTGAATTCCACTATCAACGAAAAGTTGCATACAATTGTGATTCGAGCTAGATTTTTAAATTCTGGCCCAATTAATGTCCAGATAAATAAACTTGAAAAATTTTAGTGTGGTACTTCTTGCAGGTGTTTTTCAGAGTAGATGTGTCATTTATTCTGAACTACAATATGAACTGTTTGGTCTTGGTTGGAATCAATTTTAGGCGCTGGATCACACGAAATAAAATTCCAATCTGGACGTTTTGTTCTAGCTTGAACATCGACAATACTAATCACATTCGTGATTTTTAAAATTTTGAAATAGAAACACGAATATTCTATTTTTTTCAGTTCGCCCGAAGCGATAAGATTTGGATGTAACTTAACCAAAGACAGCGAGGTCAAGTTGAACATGAACTCGTTTGAACCGCAACTGATGGTTAATGTTGAATGCGATGGCGGTATAGAGTTCCAAACGTTCATGTGCTTAAACTTCTGCTACGACCCTGTTCAACAAGCGTCACCTGTTTCGAAAACAGACACAGTTTTCGAAAATGTTGATCTGTCTGAAGAAAAAACTTTCGATTTGCCTAATGGAACGCAGAGAAGGGTAAACGTCACATATGGCTGCCGATGTGTCCTGGTAGATAGACCTCGAAAACGTGACAATTAACTTCATTTTGGCTATTATTATATTTATTCGCAGATTATTTATATATTTATTCATGTATATTTATTGTTGTCAGCATATTTTTGAGTTGCTGTGTTTTGGATTTCAATCATAGTTTACTGCTAAAATTCCCGATGTAATAATATACGATGTTGAGAATGCCCGTATACCAATATTTCATTTTTATTGCAAGGACAATGCCGTATTTCACGCTTATGTTAATATCTGTGATTCATAGCTGGTATGCTACATAAACTTCTTTTTTGCACAGTATGTAATTTTTCGGTACTCCTGAAGTGTGAGCACCGAGATGTCGCACAACCTGAACCCTAACCTGGTACATAACCTGAGTTCAGGTTGTGCGCCATCTTGGTGCGCATACTTCAGGAAGTTCAATTTTTCTACCATGACATGTATCAACATTTAAACTAAAATAGAAAAAAATTATGCCATATGAAATTTATGTCGACTTAATAAATTCGATTACACTCTAATTATTATTAATTCTACTTAGCCCTGCCTGCCTTAACAATAATAAAAATAAGCCACATATATGTAAATAATCTAATCATAAATTAATTACCAAATTATTTATTTAAAATATTTTTACGAATTTGTGTACATTTTTCTAATATACTCCTGCATCATGATTTGCCATGACTCGTTTGACTCGTTAACGTAGAAATTTCCGAGATCTCGAAAAACTCATCGCGGTCTTTTTCGAGAAAGGGAACAACACTAGCTTATATTTAGAGGTAAATATCCAAATTGTAAGTTATTTGCGCAATAGTAAGTTAGGGGACTCTCCGCTGTGAAGGATTAATATAAGGTGGATTGATCTACGACGTTAGTCGCCATTTGAGTGGACTCGTCCGTATACTTTTATTAGGTTACCTACAGTATAGACAGAATATTTGTACAATGAAAGTTGATTGTTTCCTTATTTGTGTTTTATTGCGGTATTAAATTGTTCTTTCCTTGAGTAATTTGATGAAGGATTTGTGTTACAGTAGTACTGTTTTAGCACCGTTACATCATCAACATGATTGAATAAATATAATTGAGAAGGTCACATTACCTTCGTGCCTTTAATTCGGGAGTTCACAGGTAACAGATGATTTGAAATAGTTCCAGAGTAATTTAAGCACATTTGACCAAATCGCGATGAATAATAGTATACCTCTGTGCAATATTTGCGAACGAAAAACATCTTCAGCCATTCATGATATTGACTGCTTCATTGGGCTTACAACGATCTCGACATTTGAAAGATTGGTCAACGTATTTTGTTTTCTTACCTTGTGCGCCGTAATAATTGCAGATATAAGCGGACTGGCAAACCCAAAATTAAAAACATCTTGCATAAATCTCATCCTGCACAGGCGCTGTACATACAGGGGCATCAATTGCTTATACGTTGGTAATTGTTTACACTCACTTAGTTTTATATTTGCTCAAATACCGCCAAACGGTAGCTTTGACGACGATTCAGGATAGAGCAAATAGTAGATCACGGTTAATTTTGTGCAAATAGCCGGTATGCATTTCGATAGACCGAAACCAGTAGGCGCATTAGGAAAGAGTGCGCGAGAAAATCGAGGAATCGCCGTGATTGTCAAAATTCTATCCCATACGTTTATAAGATGGCTCAGGTAATGTAAAATATTGACCTCGAATTGTACACGGTATTTTCGGCTGCATTTTTCTGTTTGCACTCGAGTAAGTACGGAATTTAAAACAAAACCGCATCAGCTGTGGGGATATATTATCAGTATCGAAGCAATATATATAGTGAAAAAGCATTGAAGTGAAGCGTAGAAATCAATAGTATACAGGTAACAGAGGCATGAACAAAAATAGAACCCATGGGTGATAAGCATAACAGATTTTGGTTTTTAAACTGAAACCAAAACCAGGAGCGATGTTCTTAGACGCGGTCCCGACACGAAATTAAATATAAAACATATGATTACAAAAAACGTTGTTGTTTATTGCATTTTGATTCTTCAGAAGATATTTATTGAATTATTTTTATGTGTCACTGTAAAATTTAATATTGAATTCATTTTTTGCTGAAATTCATGTTGCTGACACTGATATGGTGATTAAAAAACTCTACACTTGGATTTTTTTACGCGTACATTACTTCCTTCAACATATGATGAAAAAATATTAATTTGAAAATTATAAAAATCATAAAAGCAATTCAAAAATAACCTCGATTTAACTGGAGTTATCAATGATTATGCTTCGCCCTTCCTTATTATATAAAATCTATAAATACGTCTTGAGTATGTAAAATGTATATAGAGTGTTCATTTGAATATTTATTTGAAAATACTTTCACACATCCTTTTATTCTTGTTTTTTAATTTATTGTTATTTATTTGATATCATTTTTTTTATAAATTCGTTTTCATTTTTCTAATAAATACTTGCGCTATGAATATTTACTACATTGTTATAACTTGGGGTGATTGTTGTTCAGAATAGTTCGTTGGACTCCACAAAGTGAGTGTATCGTTCTAATTGAAAAACCCCATTAAATGATTAAAACATCTTACAGTAAGATCGGATATTCTTACTTCACTTGTGATGTTACCTTGTCCCAAACACACATATTCAGAAAATGACTGAAATACCAACCGCGGAAGACTCTTTTCGTGATTTCTGGAAAGGGGAACAAACTTCAATCACTAACTAACGGCAAACATTGAGATGGTCAGTTGATTACATAATCTGAAACAAATCAAATAAACCAAATTCATCATTACAATAGTCCATTCCCGACAACTAGTTCGTGAAAATTGCACAGACAATTCCCTAAAATGTTAACAGTCTACAGTACTGAGAATTGTGACTGTGATGTAATGAATAGGATCTACTTTGTAAGACAAACTAATTACGTAATATTGTCTATTTATTTAAGTTGATTGCAGCCATTTTGTTCCTCAAATGAATCCACCGATGTTAACATACTGTAGATATCATAATCGAATGATATCGCAATGTTGAAATCGTATTTAATTTTTATTTTTTATTTATTCCTGAATATTTTAGACAAGTTGTCTCACACCCCGAAAGAGTTCCGCACATCATTGCACAACGCCAGTTCTGTTGTCTTCCTATTCAAACTCGAAGTTAATTGAAGAAGCTATGACGAAGAGAACGTTTTCAAGAATTTTTTAAATTTATGACGTAACATGATATTTTGTATGTGGGATGTGGTTCTCCAACGTATTCTACTAATCACCGGTAAATATATTCAAAAAATAACAGGTGTTGACTGTTAAAAATGAATTGAAACCGAATAAATATTTTGACATATTTTATCATCATCGTTATTATAAGTATCATGCATTATTGTGAAATAGCTGTCTTATTTTGTTAATAAGTTGGGTGAAGATGTACACTACATTTTAAAGACAAAATTGAACAAGGAATTTTCGCAGACAGAAAACCTAATTTTGCCGTCAGTGGAATAAAGCGATCGTACTAACAGCTTGAATTAGTTCGATTAAGAAAGGTGTAATTTATCACGCACGTTATACCATAACAAGTTTATTTTCCTTTATCTAAACAGAGGAATAGGAACATAACAAACATAACAATGTAATTTATTGGACCCTGACAAACGTATACGCCCCGTTGACCGACCAGGTTCTTTTTCGCAGGTAACGTCCGATTCGTCGAAAATCACCATTCTGATAAATACGTAAAAATCACGGAATGTCGAGGAACACAAATATGTCCCGTTTACCAGGTGATTCCCCTTACAAAACTCCATATTTGTCAGAAATCACCGTTCTGATTATAGCTCGGCAAAAAGGATTTTCATTAATGAAATGCAATGGACATTCAGTTCTATATTACCAATTGGATTGATATGATTAGTTTATGACAACTATATTATGATATTTCACGATAAAAGCCACATTATACTTAGAACACCATATCCGTTTAGTAGATGAACAAAAAATATGTTTGATTGTTATTAACATATACACTTAAATAATAACTGAAAGAAAGTCATTTGTTATTAAAATACAAAAGTCCATACTCTCCGAACTAATTGATAAATCGTGACTTGGCAAAAATACAATTTTCCTTGTTCATTCCCGGAGCCCAATTTTTTTTATATTCAAAATCTTGAATGAGAATCAAAGATTGAAATAACTGTGTTCGAATGTAACGATATTAAGAACTACACTTCTATGCACATACCTAATATTTATACCAATTAATTAGATGTTTCTGTTTCGTGTATTTATTTACGGCAGCTAGCTTTATTTGTTTTGAAGTTGAATCTAGTCATCTGATAACTCTTCCGCATATGCTTCAACCACAGACATAAATTTTTCTATTGTTGTGACAAAATGAGAACCCATTTTTTATACTATGACGCCAGTCCACAGAATGATGTCATGACGTTTGAGCACCCATAGCGATGATGTTTACGTAATCAATATTGATAATTTGGGGAAATGTTAGATCGAAATGAATCATAAAAATATAGATTAATCATACTATTCAAGGGGTAATTTTTCACGAAATCACCCATCAGGTACAATATAATATGAGCCAGGATCTACAAATTGGAATTTGTACGATCGAGAATATTTCAAATATTCCCCTTGTTGAATTTTTTTGGGTATATTCAACTTCTACAGATGTAGCAGTTAAAATGGGGTTGATATCTAATTCTTTCAGCAAATTTATATTCCGGTGTTTACTGTGACACGTAACAGTTTTTGTTCAAAATAGAATCAACAAATTTGATTTGGGGTATTCC